GTTTGCTGTTGAGTTACAACCAAGCAATAGCCAACCTTCCAGCAGTCTAGAAGCAGTATATCACACAGGAGATAATTGTCCATCACTCTTGCAGAGTAGCTGGTTGATTCGAACCATGTGTCTTTGAGACTGTAGTACAGTTTTTGGTTTTGGGTTGTGGTTTGGTATTTTGGGGTTTTTTTGGTAGAGAAAGTTTTATTAAAAACCTGAAAACAAACATGAAGAGAATTGGATAGAAATACACACATGTAAATTAAAAATAAATAAGGATAAGATAACTCCCTTTAAGAACCATGATCTTGGAAATATTGGGGGCGGGGGAGGAAGGAACATTTAAAGCCTAGGCTTGGAATGAAAATTTTCTTGTGAGTTATAAGTCATGAAAAGACAAAAGTTCAAAACAAGTATAATAGAGAAGTAGATGCTGGGGAGGAAAAGACATAAGAAGGTCATAAACATAGATTCCTTCCTGTACTAGGTGCTCTCATATATAATTATTCCTAGAATATTGAAAATACCTGTAATTACAAATTTGTTCCATAAGTAGACAACGTGTATTGCTAATAGCTGAGCAACATAAATTATAGAGTAAATGAATAGATCAACAAAATAAAGTCCTTATTAATCCATTTAATTGGTGAAATAGTATCTTTTTAAATTTTTTTATTAATTTTAATGAAAGTTTACAGAGACTTTGGGTTTTCATTCATTCATTGTTGTATAGTGCAGCTTTTTACCACTAACCACTATTGTTGATGTTATGTGCTATGGAGTCCCTTACAACTTATAGTATCCCTGTGTAAATTAGCCTTAAGCTCCGATCTATCTTGAGCCAATTTCATTGTCTCTGACAAACCTACCTCTATCAATCAAGTCACTGAGTCAATTTATCTCACCTAGGTCTTTTCTTGTGCTGTCCCTCCACCCTTCCAAGTATGATGTCCCTCCACACTCTCAAGAATGACACCCTCTCCAAGGACTGGTCCCTCCTTGCAACATGTCCAAAGTATGTCAGATGGAGCTTCAGAATCCTTGCCTCCAAGGAGCAGCCTGGTTTCACCTTCTCTAGGCCGAACCTGTTTGTTCTCTTAGCAGTCCATGGAATATTCAATAATCTTTTCCAGCAACACAACTCAAACACATCTATTCTTTTATCCTCTTTGATGATTGTCCAGCTGTCTGATACATAGCAAGTAATTGCAAAGACCATTGCCTGAATCAGGCAAACTTTAGTCTCTAGAGTAACATTTTGCTCCTCAGTACTCTAACATCAGATTTTCCCAATGCAATTTATCTTTTTATTTCCTGGCTGCTGGTACCAAGAGTGTTAATAGTGGAGCCAAGCAAGCTTAAGCTGTTGACAATCTCACTCAATCTCTTCTCCTTCTATCATGATGCTTCCAGTTGGCCCAGTGGTGAGAATCTTTGTTTCCTTGATGTTGACCTTCAATTCATGTTGAAGGCAATAGTCCTACACCTTCTGCAGCAAATGCCTCAGGTCCTCCTCATTTTCAGTGAGTAAGATTGTGTCATCTGCATAACACAGATTGTTGATGAGTCTTCCTGCAAACGTGATGTCACATTCCTCCTCACAGAGCCCAGCCTCCTGGGTGATCTGTTCAGTGTATCAGTTGAGATAGCATGGAGATAGGATGCATCTCTAGCATACACCTTTCCTAATTTTGAACGCTGCAGTATTTCCTTGCTCTGTTTGGACAATTGCCTCCTGGTCCAGGTATAAGTTCCACATAAGCCCTTTTAAGTGCTCTGTGATTCCCATTCTTCTCACAGTTAGCCACAGTTTGTTGTGATCCACATAGTCAAATTCCTTCACATAGTTGATGAAGCACAGATAGACATTCCTCTGGTACTCACTGCTTTCAGCTAAGATCCATCTAACATTGGCTATAATATTTAGGCCCTATAGACTAGCAGATATAGCACTGGAGGCTGAGCTTTCCTATTGGGAATCGCAAAGGAGGAGGAACAGTTGCAAATAGCCCTTAATGATTGGAATGTGGAATGTGAGAAGTATGAATATAGGAAAATTGGAGATTGTTAAGGAAGAAATAGAACATATAAATATTGACATACTAGGCATTGGTGGGAACCTGGAGAGAGGATGAAAGGCACCCAAGCATCAGGACTCTCCTTCATAGGGCCTCTATGAGTTGCCTGCGACTCGATGGCACTTAACAACAATAATATCAACATAGAGAGAGAGAGATCAGCTGGCCCAGTGGACAGAAAGCGATGCTACCAAGCCAAAGGTGGGTGACTTTTAATCTGCGGCCCTCAGGCCTGTCTGTCATTGTTTTTGTTCAGACATTCCTCTAGGTCGTACAGCCCTGGTGTACAAGTTGCCGTACCGCGTTCACTTTTGGTTGCTGTGAGGCTGAACACTGTGACACTGGTGTATCAAATGCGTTAATGGTTGGCTACCAAATGCGGACAGAAAGTGGGGTGGAGCTCCCAGATTAAAACAAGCTTGGAAGAAGGAGTGGCATCCAGTTCCATAAAAGCTTGCCTCCAGAAACCCTATGAACCTGGAGAAAGGATGAAAGGCACTCAAGCATTGAGGACTCTCCTTCATAGGGTCGCTATGAGTAGCCTGCGACTGGACAGCACTTAACAACAACAGGAATTGGTGAAATGAAATGGATTGGCATAGGAAATTTTAAATCAGACAATCATGTGATCTACTATGCTGAAATTAAAAGGTGAGAAAAAATTGAGTTGTGATCATAGTTAAAAAAGACCATTTCTAGATCCATCTTGAAATACAATGTCATAAGTGACAGGATAATCCCATACACATATGAGGAGGCTCTGTTAATACCACTATCATCCAAATTTAAGCACCAACAATCAGAGCCAAGAATGGAAATAGATGACTTCTAACAACTGTTGCTGTTGGAAATAGATTGAACATGCAACCAGGATGCCCTATTAACAATGGGTGGTGAGTGAATTGAAAATGCTAGCAATGGAGAAGAAGGACTGGTAGTCAGGAAACATGAGCTTGGTGATAGAAATGAGGCTGGAGACAGAATGATAGAATTCTGTACTAACAATGATTTATTCATTGCAAATATCTTTCATAAGAAACACAATGGCAACTATACACATGGACTTCACCTGACAGCCTACATAGGAATCAAATTGATTAAATAATGTGGAGAAATTTGTTGGAGAGGCTTACGATCAGCTGTTAAAAGTAGGTCAATTACTGATTTTGGATTGGATAATCAAGTACTTGTATACAAGTTCAAACTGAAGCTAAAGAAAATAAAATCCACAAGAACCAAAGTTCGACCTTGAGTGTATCCCCCCGAATTTAAAGACCATCTCAGAAATAGATTTGAAGTCTTGAACACTACTGAGTGAAGACCAAACTGTGAGATGATATCAAGAATATCATCCATGAGGAATGCAGAAAGTCATTACAAAGACAGAGGAAGAAGAAAAGACCAAAATGGATCTCAGAAGAGACCCTGAATATTGCACTAGATCACCAAGAACCCAAAACAAAGGAAGAAAATAAAGTGCTAAGTAGTTGAATAGAAGATTCCAAAGGGCAGCACAGGAGACCAAAGCAAAGTATAATAGTGAAGTGTGCAAAGAGCTGGAGTTGGAAAATCAAAAGGGACAAACTTGCTCAGCATTTCTTTCCTTTTCTAAAATTAATTTAAATGAAAGTTTACAGAGACATTGGAGTTCCATTAATTTATTGTTTCACTTTTCTCCCTGCCCACCCTGCCCCATCATTTCGCTCTTCTCTTTGAAAAGTAAAAAAAAAAAAAAAAAAATTCTTTCATTGTTATACAATCCCCACTTGGCAATGAGGATCAGCAAAAGAGAAGACGATTCTCAAAGAGATGGATTGATATAGTGACTGCAACAATGCACTTGACCATGGTGGAGATGACACAGAGTTGGAAAGGTTTCTGTTTTGTAGAATTGTAATGAGTTGATGCTGACTAAACAGCATGTATCAAGAAAAAGTACCAGAATTAATTTTAAACAGTAAAAATAATTTTAAAATATAGAATTTCTAGGACTTGTCAAAGTAGTAGGGGAAAGTTTATCATCTATTATTTAATTTCCCCAACTGGAAACCTGAATTAATATAGAATGCTCACTAATGGAATTTTTAAATTATCCTTGAATAAAAAAAAAAAGGTTATTCAACATTTGAAATAATGGGATAATTTATGTGTCCTATCAGATATTAGATATCCTCACATTTTTTACAAGGTAAGATTTAAACTAAAGTCTGCTAATAGTTTAAACTCAAGTAAAGCTTCATTAATTTATAAAGGTCCTTAAAATTCTTTCCTTTAAATCTACAAGCCACCTTACCAGTTTCTGTATAATTTACATTTACTTTTCTATTCTTTTTCATTATTTATACCACTAGCCATTAATTTAAGCAGTAATCAAATAACTTTAAAACTGAGGAACAGTAGTAACATTACTGTTTCTATTAAATTTGCTATACATTTAAAAAATAATTTTTATATCTTTCTGCAAGAAAGATAGTATATTCTATTCTTACGAAATTGTTATGTACTGCTGAGTTGGAACTGACTTATAGCAGAGCCTCAAGTGATTTTCAGAGGCAATAAATTGCACGGGAGGAGATCACCCATCTTTCCCCCTCAAAGCAGCTGTTGGATATGAACCACATAGCTTTGGATTGGCAGTACAGCTCCTTACCACTAAGCCACCCTAAGTGGAAAATATGCAATGCAGTTTATGAAAAGATCTGATTTCTATTTTACTTCCTGATTATTTATAAAATAACATGTAATAAAACAACTATGTAAACTCAAGTCAAATATTTTCCTATATAAGTCATCATGACCTTTATATTATGTGCCAATATCCCTTTATCAGCCAATGCTGATAATGTCTAGAACTATATAAGACAGAGAAGGGGAAAAGAAAAGTCTCTTGAACAAGCCAGCATTTGGCTCAGGATCATCAAGAGAGGAAAAATGGGGCTGTTCAGGACTTCTGTTTTCTTTTTAGTCCTCTACCTGCTGCAGGGCTCAAATACTTCCCTGATTAAGCTGAATAACAGTGGCTATGAAGACATTATCTTTGCTATTCACCCTGATGTGCAAGAAGATGAGAATATAATTAAACAAATAGAGGTAAGAAAGAAAAAGTATTATAATACTGTTTTGTTTTAATTATGGAGAAGAAAATAAAAATTAATAATTATTACGACATTTCTGAATGCTCTGGGAAGTGTAAAAGCAACATAGGACAGTGAAGACAGAGCTGATATGAGGCGCGAGAGATGAAATTTCTAGATGAGACTTTTCTACCCACACTCATTACAACATCCTCTTACTTACAGGAAAGCCAACTGGTTCTGAACAATAGCTTTATAATGAGCAGGGTAAAGAGCTCTGGTGGCAGATTTTGTGAAAAATGATTGACAGTTGGAATCCACTGAGTGCTCTCTAGGAGAAAGACAGGCAATCTCTGCCCATAAAGATTTACGTTCCTGAAAACTTGAAGTACTGTAACTCGAAGGTTACTTTAAGTCTGTAAGCTGACTTGATGGCAATGTAGTATGCAGGATCAGTTGATTCTGTCTCAAATATTTCTGAGCCTCAGAAATAATCATTTGTAAAAATTATCTCTATGCCCAAAGAATTTTTTTCGGTAAGCCTCTGTTGTATACTAGAAGTAGAAATTTTATTGTTAGTGGTATGCCTAGATCGCACGGTTATTTCTAACATTTTTCTAGCCCTCTGAAAATCCTTGCATCTATATCCTCTCAGAAAAACTGTGTCATCCATATCTTGGTGAAAAGAAAACTGGAGTTTAGAGAAGTTAGATAACTTATTCAGTGTCAAATTAACTGACAAGGTCAGAGCTAAAATACAGGAGTTATATAATAGACTTAGTAAAGGACATGGATTTGAATTTCAACAGATTTAGAGATCTGGTTTTAATTCATTCACTAACTCATAACTATTAAGTGAATGGTCTCTGATCAAAGCCAAGAACCATGCCAAGGTAGAGGTAGCATTCTTCTCAAAGTTTATTGCACAACGGGCTACTCAGCAAGGGGAGTAGCACTGAGGGTTGGGCTTAGGGGGGTTTATATGGGGTTTTAGCAAGTATGTTTTAGGGGGTTGTGAGGTGAGTTGACATTGCAGTGGCTCATTGGTGCATGAAGTTTTTGGTCTTGGGAAAAGATACTAATATGGGAATTTCTGAGTTCTGCTTCTGGGGAATGTCCTGACATAGGATTTTCTGAGTTTTCGTTTCAGAAGAATGTCCTGACATAGGATTTCTGAGTTCTGGTTTCAGGAAAATGTCCTGACATAGGGTTTTCTGAGTTTTGATTTTAGAAAATGTTCTAGCATAGGATTTTCTGAGTACTTGTTTTGGAAAATATCCTGACATTGGATTTTTTAGTTAATCTTCAACCTCCATTTTTATTTTTAGCCTAGCATTAAATAGGAACCAGTGCAGAGCTTTGGATTTACAAAGCTAAAAATTGCAGGGAAGGAAATTACCTATATTTCTCTAGCAGAGCTGCTGGTGGATTTGAACTATGATAGAGGAGTGACCTTTGGGTTACCAGCTCAACTCCTATAGACTCTGTCACTAGATCTCCCTTTGCTTCAATTGTTATTGTTATTGTTGATTGCCATCAAGTTGAGCATAGCAACCCTATGAACAAAAGGCCTGAAGACTTTCTATAACATCATTTACCAAAGTCCACAGGGTTTTCAGAGGTATGTTATTTAGGAAGTAGATGTCACTCCTGCTTCAAAACAACTATATAATTCACTCGCATATGTTTTTAAGAAATAGTAAAATAAGAGGCAACCAACTAAATTCGGGAAGGACATACTCTCCTGGATACTTTCTCCTCCCCCAACACCCCGCCCACTAAGGTTTCTAGGATAGGGAAAATACTGGTTTCAGTTCTGTATTACTGATAGTCAAGAGTGAAGTGTAGGAAAAGTTTTTGCAGCTGGCAAACATAAGTTAAAAGCATTAGTCATCAGAGAAGAATCAGTGATTTTTAAGGATCATTATCTTCAAAGCTTTAGAAATAGTCAACTTTCAAACTTCTAATTATGTTAATCCAATCTGCATCAATCTAAGGAAACAGGAAATCAAACCATTAGTTTTTAAATTCTGAGCACACTTCTATAGCTCTGTCTTGCCTTTACACTTAATGGTTATGGATAAATGTTAAGGAAAATGTTTACAAATTGATTGATATAGAAATCAAATAGCTTAACTGACAGCAAACACACAGAAACAACAACAAAAAAGAGTTTCATAAGAGAAAACAATATGGTAGGAATTGTGATGACAAATTGTCAGAAACACTTTTGTTATTCTGTTCCTCTCCATAAAACACAGCTCTTTTTCTATGTAAATTAAAGTAACAAAAAGTATCCACTCTAAACCGTCTAGCGTAAAATGGGTACAGGTATCACAGAAGACAACATTTTAAGTAAATAAATGATTTGGAAACAGTATTTCCTATAATTCATTTCATTCCATGGGATACTCATTTGTGTCAGACATAGTAGATACAATCACAAATAAAACCTAGTTTTATACCCATCAAAGCTTAAAATGTAGTATCACATAGGTCATAGAGGACAAACACTCGGATACAGTACCTAACTAACAAACTTATTTTGTTCCTCATCTATGGGGACCAACTTGTAATCTAGAAACCATCAAGATTTCTTATAAAATGTTGATGCTTAAACAGACTTGCCTTCGTACTATAGGATCAAGGAAAGGAGAAAGTCACCAATTCAGCAATGATACTACCAATCTGGATATATCTGGGGTTGCTTCAATTAGATGGCAAAAAAAGTCACTCTTTGACATGATTGTGAACCAATAATTTGTGACTGTAACATATTGTTGTTGTTGTTGTTAAGTGCCATCGAGTCATAGGTGATGACTTATAGCGACCCTGTGAATGAAAGTCCTTGACACTTGTCTGTGTGACTTTTATCCTTTCTCCAGGTTCATAGGGTTTCCGGTGGCAAGCTATTTATGGAAGTGGATGCCACTCCTGCTTCCAAGCTTGTTTTAATGGGGGAGCTCCATCTGACACAGTCCACCATGGGTAACCATTATCACATTTGACACATCAGTGTCACATTGTTCAGCTTCACAGCAACCACAGGTTACCTCTGTAAGGCAAGTGGACACACCAGGGTTATATGGCCTAGAAGAATGTTTGACCACAAACAAGCAAAAACAGGCCTGAAAGCCACGGATTAGAGTCACCCACCTTTGACTTGGTAGCATCACTTTCGGTCCACTAGGGCAACTGGTCTCTCTCTCTCTGTTTTTAAGTGCTGTCAAGTCATAGGCGACTCATAACGACCCTATGAACAAAAGTCCTCAACACTAGCATGACATATTAGTAACATATCAAACCAGATTAAGAGATATGCTGTTTTAGTTACTAATTTATGAGTTGAAATGTTCATATTTCAGTTTTCCTATTCCTAGTATAGATTTCTTCTTAGCATCAAAAAACATAGTTTTTAAATTGTTGGCATTAATCTCCTTTGATCCAACTGGGATATGGGTATTTAGAAATGGACTTAGATTGGATTCTGTAAGAATTCTTCTTGGGTAGCTTATGAGTGCCATACAAAGGCACCCAGGTGCCCTCAGAAGTCACAATTGTCTGATGGAGTTCTCTGCAATCCATCTACAATCTGAAAACATAACAATACTCATCAAGCTAGTCATGTAGCCATGAAAAGGAGGCTTTTCGTGGACAGAAACAATAGTGTACATTAGGAAACTGCCAAGAAGATGATGAAGACTGGCATTAATCCAATGTCCAAAATGCCCCAATTATTCATACGGTTTAACCATGTGGAATAGATCACCGCGAGTGTCTTTTACTTCTCTGCTAGGAAGCTCTAATGGCTTTAGTGGTAAAGAACTGAGCTTCCAATCAAAATATATTCAGTTCAAATCCACCAGCCTATCCTTCAGAGAAAGATGGACAGTCTTCTCCCAGGCAATTTACTGCCTCTGTAAAACTGCTTGAGGGTCAGCTATGAATCAGTTCAAACTCAATGGCACATAAGGACAACATTTTCACTGCTAGATGTAAATTCTAGAAGAGGATTATGCATCTTATTCATCATTATATCCTTAGATTTCAGAAAAATATAAGGTGTTATTATTTTCAGCTTGTTAGCAGTGTAGCAATCTCATTTATTCCTATGATTTTTTCCATCACCAAGGGCTCATATCAGAGATCCCAACTTAAATGTCCCTCTCTGTCTTCATATTTATTATTAAGAAACTCATTTCTAGAACGTATCACTTTCAGTTTGCATTCAACTAAAACTGCTCTCTATTATGACTTCTTGTTGTTAGGTGCTGTCGAGACAAGTATGACTCATAGTTGTTGTTGTTGATTGCCTTCAAGTCAAGTATGACTCATAGTGACCTTATGAACAAAAGGTTTGAAGTCCTTCTACAACTATTGGCATTTATCAAAGTTCATAGGGTTTCTGGAGGCATGTTATTTAGAAAGTACCACTCCTGCTTCCAAATGACTCATAGAGACCCTATGAACTAAAAATCTGAACCCTAAAAAAAAAATCTGAACCTGTTCTACCCTGCACCGTCCTCACTTCCTGACACACAGGAGCCCATTGCCGCAGTCACAATATGAATCCACCTGGTACAGACCCTCCTCCCTTCCTAACATCATGTCCTTTTCCAAGGAATAGCACTTCCTAGCTATATAGTGTAAGTATGTGAGGTGAAGTCTCACCCTTGCCTCCAAAGACCACTCCAGCTGCACCATCTCCAAGATATATCTGTTTTCTTAGCCATCCATGGGATGTTCAGTGCTCTTCTTCAATACCACAGATCAAAGGTGTCAATTATTTTTCTGTCATCCTTATTCATTGTCCAGATCTCAGATGCATGGCTAGTAATTGGAAAGACTATGGCCTCAATCAAATGCATTTTAATCCTCAAACTGACATCACTAGTCCACAATACTTTGGAAAGATCCCTAACTATAGATTTTCCCAGTGAAATGCATCTCCTTATATCCTGACTGCTTTATATCAAGGGTGTTAATTATGGATCCAAACAAGATGAAGTTGTTGACAATTTCAATCTCCTCTCCACCCATCATGATGCTGCCCATTGGTCCAACTAACAATAGATAGTTTACTAGGTATTTCTAGAGGAAGTTATAATTTATTCTGTCTTTATGCCAATTTTAAATATAAGAATACTTAGTTCATTTACAGGATAAGGATACTTATGTTAAAAGCAGTTACAAAAATAAGCTAACAATTAAAATTCAAGAACTAAAATCAGAATTAGAACTAAGGCATCTAATGATGTCTAAGTCTATACTTAAATAATTTCTGTTAATAATAAATAGAAGATTTTGCTTTTTCATGCATGATTAAAGAGAATTAAAATGTGTTTAGGGAGCTTTTGTGGTATAGTCCGTAGAGAGTTGCTCTGATAACCCAAAGGTCATGCCTCCCTACCACCAGCAGCTCTGAAGAAGAAAGATGAGAAATCTCCTAAACTGTGATTGATTTACAGTCATGGGCACCCAATAGAGGTTCAGCTATGAGTTGGTTCTAACCCCAAGGCAATGAGAAAGGAAGGGGAAATGCATTTAAATGTTTAGGATTATGCTATAATTTGAGAGTAACAGATTGCAGAATTGGGATTGTAAAGCAGAGAACTCGCTTTTCAAAACCACTTTTACTTTTTATTCATAAGGTAGGAAATGCCTATGTTTAGTATTAATATTAGCATTAGTATTAGCCGCAGCAGCAGTAGTATTGAGTTGACTCTTACTTGGTTCTCCTCACATATATTTTTTTCTTTTAATACTAGGACATGGTGACTGCAGCTTCCACTTACCTGTTCAAAGCCACAGAAAAAAGATTTTTTTTCAAAACTGTATCTATATTAATTCCTGAGACTTGGAAGGCAAACTCTCAGTACAAGAGGCCAAGACTAGAGAGCTACACACATGTAAGTAAAACACTTCTCTTGTTAGATTATATTTTTTGGTGCTTCCAATTTTGCCTCAGATACATTGTTATACAGTGTTTCATAGCAAATGTCATTTCTATTTCTGGGTTTTATACAGTCTTTTTAAACCTTCTTAGGCTGATGTTTTAGTTGCACCACCGACCCTCCCAGGTAGAGATGAACCGTACACAAGGCAGTTCACAGAATGTGGAGAAAAAGGAGAATTCATTCACTTCACACCTGACTTTTTACTAGGAAAAAAAGAAAAAGAATATGGACCATCAGGTAGGAATTGGGGTTGAAAATATATATATACTAACATAATGTTTTAAGAAAGTAGCTTTCTACTCACTAAGATCTGCAAGTCTTGGAATGAGGCTATTACAGAGGTGTAAATCCTGACTCATGTGTTTATTAGCTGGGTATGACCTTGGGGCAATGAATCAATCTCTTTGTGATTATCATGTGTAAATGGTTAATAGAGGAATACCTGCCCAGTAGAATTGTTGTGAATATTCAGTTGTTGTTGCCATTGTTGTTATGTGCCATTGAGTCACCTGCAACTCATAGAAGCCCTATGTACAATAGCCCTAAACCCTGCTCTATCCCTTGTCAATCTTATTCTACCAAACACCCATCCCCATTATCCCAGTGATTGAATCAATCCCTCTCATAGAGGATCCTGCCTTGCAACACGCCCAAAGTGTGTCAGTGAAGCTTCAGAATCCTTTCCTCCAAAGAGCAGCCTAGCTTCACCTTCTCCAGGACAAATCTGTTTGTTCTCCTCGCAGTCCATGATGTATTCGATATTTTTATCCAGCACCACAACTCAAAGGCACCAACTCTCCTTCCATCATCCCTAGTCTTGGTCCAGCTCTCTGATGAAAGAAAGCATGTAATTGCAAATATCAGGTGCACCTTAGTCTCCAGACTGACATTGTTGCTCTTCAGTACTTTAGAGAGGTCTCTGACAGCAGAATTTCCCAGTGCAATTCATCTTTTAATTTCCTGGCTGCTGGCACCAAGACTGTTGATTGTAGAGCCAAACAAACTGATACTGTCAACAATCTCAATCTCTTCATCATCTATTATGATGCTGCCAATCAGCCCAGTGGTGAGAATCTTTGTTTTCTTGATGTTGAGCTTCATTCCATATTGAAGGCTGAAGTCTTTGACCTTCTGCAGCAAGAGCTTCAGGTCCTCCTCATTTTCAGAAACAAGGTTGTCATTTGCACAACACAGATTGTTGATGAGTTTACCTTCAATCCTGATACCACACTTCTCCTCATAGAGTCCTGCCTCTTGGATAATCTGAGATAATCTGATAATCACATATAGATTGAAAAGATCCAGAGATAGGACACATTCTTGACTCACACCCTTCCCCACTTTGAACAATGCAGTGTTTCCTTGCTCTGCTCTGACGACTGTCTCCTAGTCCATAAGCACAATCAAGTTTTCTGAGCTTCCCATTAGTTAGAGAACTTTATTTATTTGGTATAATGTCTGGCAAATATTAAATGGAAGAAATTTTAAACATAGAACAATAGGAAATGTCTTTTTCTTGAGACATTAAATTTAGATCTTAATTTAAAATACAGATTAAAATCACAGTTCTCCGTGCTTGACAAACTACTGTTAAAACAGTTAAGGCCTTTTTTCCTCCCCAGAAACCATTTTCTCCCCTGAGGAGGCACTATCACTCCCTTTGTGAATTGGTTTTATAGATGAGAAACTGAGGAATAGGCAGGTTAAGCAATTTGTCCAAGAATGCAAAAATGAGAAGGGGCAGGACATGCAACAAAAGCCAAAGAAATAAAATAATTGGGTGAATGGAAGGAAGAATGAACAATATAAAGACTATTATCTTTTCCATCCCAAATGAGGTTTGCATCTAACTACATTGTGCTTATAAGGCTCTCCTACTATGTAATTTCAAATGTTCAAAATTCAGTCCAATGTGCCCACAGCAAGTACTCTACAAAGATTATTTTTATTTAATGTGTTGTATAATAAAAAATAATATTTTGCATAATATAATGCGGTAGAACATATTTCATAAACCAGCAATGAATATTCAAATCTATCATTTAATTGATTGGAAGAAAAAACCTTCTTGAGGTTTTTTAGAGGCAAATCTTTTCACCTGACTTATGAATACATTTTAAATATTTCCCGACAGGAAGAGTGTTTGTCCATGAATGGGCCCATCTCCGGTGGGGCGTATTTGACGAGTACAATGAAGATGAGCCATTCTACAGTTCTTCGTCAAAAAAAATTGAGGCAACAAGGCATGGTCCTTTACAAATTTCATAAATGTCTTTAGAGTGTAATGATTTTATATTACTTAGATTTCTTTCCTAGTGCTAATAACTCATTTTGGTCTTGATGTTATATTGGGGGGGAGCATTTATTTTCTTTTTTGAAAATGTATCTTAATTTGCTGCCAACTTAAAATATGCTTAGATTTAAGAGGACTTCATGGACAACTTGACATACTTTATATCTCTTATCCGTAGTTACTAGTGCTCATTTATGCTGAAGATGTGCTCTGTGTAAATGGTATATTGTATGCTCAGAAATGATCAAAATTATTCCAACTACTCAAGGTGCCAATGAGTCATGCTCGACTCATTGGCACCTAACAACAACAATACACTGATAACAAAAAAGAGGCTAAGAAGCAATGTTGGATGTGGGCTGTGAAAAATATTAATCAGCGTCAAGTTGCCAATTTGAAATTTCTTGGAGATATGTAAATATCAACCTAAATACTAAGCCAGCATCACAGTTGGTACTAGACATTCACCTTGGTTTTGAGATGAAGAGAGTAAAATGTTAGGATAAATGTGTTTAAAATTTGATTTTATTAACCTAACTACTGTTAGATGCCCTGCGAAGGAGAAGTAATTGTAATAAATGAGCAAGTTAAAGATACATGATATCAATAAGCATCATTCTTCTGCTCTACCACAACTATACCATTTTTAGGATATTTTTTAGAGTTTTTTTAAAAAAATTTTAAATGTTCATTTTAATTCTTTTTTATTCAAACTTGTAATAGTATTTTTTTTTCTTATTAATTTTAATGAAAGTTTACAGAGACTTAGGGTTTCCAGTCATTCATTGTTGCACTTTTCTCTCTACCCACCCCTCCTCCTGAAATCACTCTTCTCTTTGAAAAGAAAAAGAAAAACTCTTTCATTGTTATGCAATCCCTCTCCCCAAACCCACTCCACTATTTTATCTCAAACACTTATTGGAGAGTAGAGGATTGCAGGAGACAAATGACATTATATAGTCACTTTTTCATCGCCAGCACACCATAAATATTTTTTCTTATCATTATATATTCTTTTACAGAAGAATTGTAATATCTGCTTGTGTTATGCTGTTTGACATCTAATTTATCTATTAATCTTCTTTTGTTATAGACTTTTAGTATTTTTATTATGAGCAACTTCTTTTTCTACTTCTGTATTTTTATTGGTATTCATATATTCATATACATTGTGTTTCAAGAGTATTGCATTTATTCCATTATTTTATATATGCAAGTATCTGCATTTCAGTACAGAATATTCATAGTCATTTATATAAATAGCGTAATTACTTTCAGTGATTTGTAGGGCAATGCAAAAAAAAAATATCTTTAGGAGATTCCGTAGATGACTAAATGAAATCTCATTCCTGCTTCCTGAATTTAAACTGGAAGCACATTGCAAAGTTAAGAATATATTAAAATCTCCATATATTTATTATAATTATTGCCAATTCTAAGTAATAAAATTGATATCTAAAGTATCTCCATCATTCATTGTTTCCAGGCACATTCTCCTTTGAATAGCAATCTCTTTGTCCACTGGAAACAACTGTAGCTATGTTATCTCCCATTCTTTTGTAGACATCCTCTCTAGTGATAAATCTATAAGTGACACTAAACTAGTGTAGTTTCAAAGTAGGTAGGCTGAACGTTCTCTCATCAGCTTCTTGCAACACATTATCATCACAAGTTCAGAGGGAGACAAGGGAACTGCAAATCATTAGTCTAAGCAGGACAGCAGCGGCTTGAAACTCAGCAGAGAACACACATTGTATGTATGAAATCCCACTGCAAGGTTTTTGAAAACTTTCTCACTGCAATATGCAATTACACAAAAAAGAATTGATCATTAAACACTTAAGATTTTCAAAACATCTTAATGAATAAGCTGCCTCAAAGAATAACTATCAAATATTTTCAGGTGTTCCACAGGAATCACTGGTACAAATAAAGTATACTGGTGTCAAGGAAACAGCTGTGTAACTAGAGTGTGCAGACTTGATTCCAAGACAAAACTATATGAAAAAGATTGTCAATTCTTTCCTAATAAAGTTCAAAATGAAAAGGCATCTATAATGTTTATGCAAAGTATTGATTCTGTAAGTATGTCAGTCATTGCTTTGATAATTTATAACTAAGTAAGATAATGTTTTCAACATATCAATCCAGTTGACCTTAGGAAATAGATGTATTAATAAAAGATTGTTTGAACATTAGAACGTACTGGTGACCTAGTGGTTAATGAGTTTTGATGCTAATGCTAAGTCAGGTGATTTGAATGCACCACTGCTTTGCAGGAAAAAGATGGGCAATCTCCTCTCCTGTGATTTACAGCCTCGAAAAAACCCATTGGAGGGTCAGCTCTGAGTTGATTCCAGCTTGATGACAATGAGTCAGTCAGTCCATTTAAGTATTAGCCGGCACAAGGGCTAGCTATTATTACTATAATTATTGCTATTAAAAATCAACTTTAGTATAATAGTGATTCTTCAATGAATAAGAGTTCATTCAATAAACAACATTTTTCAGAAAATATTTTTATTTCAGGTCTGTAGTTAGATTTAATGCATGTTGTTGTGTGTCATTGAATAGAGTCCAATTCATAGTGAGCCTATAAGATAGCATAGAACTGCCCCATTGGGTTTCCTAGACTGTAATCTTCTTGTTGTTAAGTGCCATCAAGCTGCTTGTGACTCATGTTGTTGTTTGTTGTTTAATGCCGTCGAGTCGTAGACGACTCATAGAGACCCTATGAACCAACAGCCTGAGCACTGTTCGTACATCGAGTTTCCAGAGGCAAGCCATTTTGGAAGTGGATGCCGCTCCTGCTTCCAGGCTTGATTTAGTCGGGAAGCTCCAGCCAACACTGTCCACCATGGGTGCCCATTACCACGATTGGCACATCACTGTCACAGGCTTCAGCATCACAGCAACCACGAGTTACCTCTGTACAGCAACGCAGAGACCAGTGCTATACCACCTAGAAGAATGTTTGACAGGAAGACAATTTGAACCTGGGAATGTGTTTGACGTGCAGGTTTGCTCTGTCCCTGGAGTGAGGCTAGCCAGCCTGGGCCTAGGGTTTGAACCAGGAGGCAGCCTTAAGCCGAAGGTTTTGTGACTCATAGCGACCCTATATACAAGAGCTCTAAACGCCATTCTATTCTGTGCCAACCTAGCCATCTTACAGAAGCAAATTGCCATGTCTTTTCTGTCATGAAGTGTCTGTGGGTTCAAACCATCAACTTTACAGATAACAGCAGAGTACTTAACTATGATGCTATTGGGATTTTCTTAAAACACTGTATATCATATAGTATATGAAGGAGTCCCAAAGATGGGTAGGTAAACTCAATGGAGGCATCAATTAGAATCAACCTGATGAAAGTGGCTTTACATTCTTGTTCTTACATCCCTTTGAGACTCATTGCTGACTCTCCAATGAGTTCAGAGATGGTAAATCACATTGTAGAAGACTGCTGATCTTTTTCCTGTGGAGCAGTTGGTAGAGTTGAACCACATGTCTTTGGGTTAGCTTCTTAACTCCTCTCTACTAGGCCACTAGAGTTCAGTAAAAACAGAGCAGATAAAAATGTTTTTTACCATATTAACCTTTTAGGTCACTGAATTTTGTAATGCAAAAAACCATAACCGAGAAGCTCCAAGCCTACAAAACAAGAAATGCGAATCCAGAAGCATATGGGAAGTGATTAGCAATTCTGAGGATTTTAACAACACTGTTCCTATGGAAGAAACACCTCCTCCACCTGTCTTTTCACTGCTGAGGATCAGTGAAAGGGTTGTGTGCTTAGTTCTTGATAAATCTGGAAGCATGTCGGTAAGTGTCATGGTTCTATTTTTCTGGGATGTGGAACATTGGTTGATGACAGAATGGCCAAGAAAACACTGTTCTGTATGTACACCTGAGTTGTTCTTAATTGCTTGATAGTTTAAAGTCGTTATCACTTCTTGGGGTCCTCACTTCAAGATGGATAATGGCATATCATATTGAAGGAAAGATATCAATAGACTTAAACAAATTTAAACTAAGTTCTGATATTTAATTTCCCCATATTAGACCAAGTTCTGGTGGTTGGGTTTTTTTACTTTCCCAAAATAAGTTTGTATTTTTGTTTGTTTGTTTTTTACTGAGAAGGGCATTGAGGACTTTTGAGTAAAGCTTTAGATAAAGAATGAGAACTACAGAGTGAGATATGTAGATGGTTTCTAGCCATGTCTCCTTTTCCTATTGGAAATGTTTGAGATACTTGAGAATAGAGTGGAATGCAATTTGCTGAATTTCATGATCAATGTCAAGGTACAGAATTAATTATGATAATTATTAAACATGGTAGAATGAGGCTGGCATTGGGGTGGGGGTAAGACTGAGAAAAACTGGATGAAATATGTTTACGGCATTGAAGTCTATGGGGGAGAGAATAGTCTAAAAGTATATTTTAGGGCATTATTTTTATCATAGGAGTACGCAATGAGGGTTGCAGAGTGGACTATATTTGGGGGTAGGGGGTGGGGTTTGGGGAGGTGTGGGAGGATTGTGTACCAATGAGGGAGTTTTTCTTTTGCTTTTCAAGAAGAGGAGCAAATGGGGGGGTCTAGGGGGGGTGTGCGGGGAGAAGGGTGCAATAATGAATGAATGGAATTCCAAAATCTCTGTAGATGTTCATTGAAATGAAAAATAAACAAACTAAATTAAATTAAAAAAATGCTAAAAAAAACCACCCATGGGCTTATTACACATACTTACCATTTATACAAATGACCTCTTCATGACCAAAGAAGCAGAAAAAATATCTGACCCAATCTCATCCATCTTTCTTCTGCTCACCTATATATAAAGGGATGAAGATGCTTTTTTAAAATTATTAATCTTAATGAATATTTACAGAGATTTTGGATTTCCATTCATTCATTTGTTGCACTTTTTTCCCCACCCAGCCCCCACCCCAGTTCACTCTTCTATTTGAAAAGTAAAAGAAAAATTCCTTCATTTGTATACAATCCCCCCGCAACCCCCCAACCCCCACCCCGAGTATACACCACTCTGTAACCTTCATTACGGATTCTTATGATAATCATAATACTCTATAATACATTGCTTTTAAACTGTTCTCTCCCTCATCTGTTTCAATGCAGTATACAAAATTTATCCAGTTTTTCTCATTCTTACCCCAACCCTGATGTCAGTCCCACTCTACAACAGTGGCACTATGTAGTGTTTATTCTTCTGTGACTGAGGTATTTCATTCAGCATAATGTCCTCTAGGGTCACCCATTTTGCATTGAGTTCCTTGTTTTTCAATGCAGCATAGTATTCCATTGTGTGAATATACCACAGCTTCTCTATCCATTCATTTGTTGATGGGCACTTAAGTTGTCTCCAACTCCTTGCTATTGTGAACAAAGCCACAATAAACATGGGTGTGCATTTGTCTGTTTGGATGGCAGTTATGGTCTCTTTAGGGTATATTCCCAGTAGTGGAATTGCTGGGTCAAATGATATCTCTATTTGCAACTTTTTGAAGATGCTTTTTATGTGCTGAGAAGTTTCTCATTGCAATTTGGTTGCAGGGAGTTTAGGGAGCAGTTTGGATAGGGGATTGAATGATCAAAGTAGGGTTGATGAATGGAGTAGCAAAGATCATTTTGGTGATGAGAAAAAGAATAAATGTTTGAAGCCACTTACATATTGCCAATGATGAAATAAAGAAGGATGGGAACCCAGGGTGGGGTGGGTGGGGAGAAAAGTGCAACAATGAATGAATGGAAATCCACAATCTCTGTAAATGTTCATTGAAATTAATAATAATAAAAAAAAAGAAAGAGGGGAACCATGGTAGAATAACAAAGTGCCAGTTCAGTACTTAGTTGAAAAAGGACAAAGACAAAAAGAAACAGGATTTCCAGAAATGGCAGCAAAAAGCATTAAACATCAGCACATAAAACCAGTCTTAAAAATATTATTGAAGAGATGTGAGGTTCTTCTCATGTCTTCTGCTACTGTTCAAGGACTGTCTATTACTTTGTGACAGATATTGTGCTAGAGTAGAGGTCCACATACTTGAAGACTTCACAGCTAAACAGAGAAGCTGCTCTCTCCCTTTCCTCATCCTTTATATTTGACACAAGCATCCAGTTTATCCAGGTGGAGCTGAACTGGGCTTCTAGATGAACTTTCTGTTCATCTTTATTATATGTTATTGTTAAGTGCCATCAAGTCGTGGACGACTCACAGCAACCCCATGAATGAAAGGCCTGTACACTTGTATAACTTTCAGCATTTCTCCAAGTTCATAGAGTTTCCAGAGGCAAATTATTTCAGAAGTGGATGCCACTCCTGCTTCCAAGTTTGTTTTAATCGAAGAGCTCCAAGAAACTGTCCATCGTGGAAAACCATTATCACACTTGATTCATCAGGGTCACAGTGTTTAACATCACAGTAACCATGAGTTACCTCTGTATAGCAAATGGACAGACCAGTGATAAACCACTTAGAAGAATGTTTGACCAATATATACAGTATGTTATTAGCATATGCTATTTATATGTTGGGAGGTTCATTCCTATACACTATATATTATATTTAAATTATATTTTGGTCCCAATATTGTTGGAGCTCTTGTAGAAGTTGGAACTATGTTTCATCTTTGTATCATCAGGGCCTAAAACACGGTTTGTTATACACAGACCCTCAATTAGTAATTGTTGAACCCAAAAAATTACAACTAATCAGATGTAATGTGAAAAGTCGCTCAAAATTACAGCAATCTGAGAGGAAGTGTACAAATGTTCAAAGTCACTTACATATTGCCATTGACTGAATAAAGAGGGAAGTGAACCCTGGTGCATTAACAAAGAGACAATTCAATTCAATTAACCCACTGATGATGAAGTGGTGGAGGGCAGCAGGGAATGAAAGAGGAAAGAGACATGGTCAGACTGTGTCTTTCAGGACTCAAAAGCAATCCTGAGTAAGTTTTACCTTTTGATATTTCTAGTGTCTCTTGTCCAGTGGAGAGTTCTTACGTGGCAGAGATGGCTAAGTGTTGGACCATTAACCTGAGGTTGGTGGTTCAAATGATGTAGAAACACCTCTAGAGATCTGCTTCCGAGAGGTCAGCCTCACACTCACTGTGAAGAGCAGCCAAGAATTCATGCTAGTTAAAACTTCTACTCCTTATTACACTAGCATGTGTCCTGTGACAGCTGTAATTGTATTTTTAATTTTACTAAACTGATTTTTAAAAATAATATCAGCTATTCTTCATAGGAAATTCTTACCAATAAATTCTATGTATTCACTTTTTTAAAATCTGCTATGACTTTCCAGTGAAAAATCACATGGTTATTCTCTTTGTTCTTTATTCAGACTTCTCAACGCCTACAGCGTATGAATCAAGCAGCCAAACATTTCCTGCTACAAACCATTGAAAATGGATCCTGGGTTGGATTGGTTCAGTTTGAATCTATAGCCTCTGTCAAAAGCAACCTAGTCCAAATAACAAGCAACAGTGAAAGAGAGGAGCTTGTGAAAAAGTTACCTACACAAGCTTCAGGAGGAACGTCCATCTGCTCTGGAATCGAAGCTGCTTTTCAGGTGAAAACCATTCTGCTAATACAGATTATCTTTGGTTTCTAGATAATTTCTATATTAAGTATTCTTGTACTTCCTGACTGCTTAATTTAAAAATACTTGGTTGTAAAAACCACTGAGTGAATAAACATGGGGGGAAGCCTCAATTTAAAAGAAGAGTGAATAAATTGCTAGTCTACATGTGAATAAATAACTAAATAATCAAACCAATGCTGCAGACCATTCTAACTCGTGATGATCCTATGTGTCATAGTTCCCTAGGGTTTCAAATTTTTCAGAATAGATCACCAGATCTTTTGGTTAGAAATTGAATGTTTTGCACCACCCAAGAACTTTAAAGTTCCACTAAATGACTGTTTCGTCCCACTAAATTTTAAATTCAATGAGGAAAGATAATTTATCTCTGTCAGTACTTGTGGTCTACCAGCAAGAAGCTGTGCTGCAATCCTGAAGGCATGCCGTTTGAGGTCACCAGCTGCTCCACAGGAGAAGGATGGGCAATCTCTCCCAAGTGATTAACTGCTTTTGAAAACCTGCCTGAGGGTTACCTATGGGTAGGTTCCAACTCAACAGTGCATAACATTGCCATGCAAAGAGAGCTCTGGTGGTTTAGTGGTAAGGAATTACACTGTCAAACCAAGAGCATGTGGCTCAAATATACCAGCTGCTCTTCTAGAGAAAGACGGACAGTCTTCTCCTGTGTGATTTAATGCCTCTGAAAACCCACTGGAGGGTTTCAGATTCCACAGTACCTAACAGCAACAACAACATCACCATCCAAAGTAGATGCTAATACAATGTAAAATATAGTAATATGCTTAGACAACAAAAGCAACCAACTTTTAGAGCCATGAACAGGTCCTGTGTCATTATTCCAATCTGAGCCAATCCTCATTTCTACATCTCTGGCACTCAGGGCAATCCAGCGGTTAACCATTTAAAACAGATACAGCAGGGACTATTAATCTTATGTAGGGTAAGATAGATTGGTTACTGATGTTGTTGTGTACCACTGAGTGAGAACCGACCCATATCTGACCCTCCAGCTGGTTTCCAGAGGCAATTAATCACATGGGAAGAGATTGCCCATCCTTCTTCTGCGAGGCAGGTGGTGAATTTGAACCACATGCCTTCAGGATTTTGACGCAATTTCTTACCACTAGCCCACCAGCTCCCTAGATAGATTAGTTAGACGATGGATTTGACAACAGATAGATTAGGGTTTGAGTCCTTCCATAGGTTGACTTACTAACTGTAATCTTGGGCAAAGTTCTAGCCCTTTTGTACTTTAACCACGTTATGTACAATTATGTATAAAACATAGGAAAATAAGAATGCCTACCTCCATATTTTGGGCATGTTAGAGGAGGAAACAGTCCTTGAAAAAAGACATCTTTCCTGGAAAGATAGAGGGTCAGGAAAAGAGTGAACAACCCCAAATTAGATGGATAGAAAATGTGACTCTAACTATGAGCTTGACCATGGAGGGGATCATGAGAATGTAAGGTTCATAGGGTCACTATAAGTCAACTTGACAGCATCTAACAATAACAAATTTCTAATGTATTACAAAAATTAAATTAAACAATATATTTAACACACTTAGGAAAATGATATATTGCATGTTGTTGCTGTCATGTACTATCGAGTGAGAACTTATCCATAGCTGAGCTTCCACTAGGTTTCAAAAAGCAGTAAATTGCATAGAAGACTGTTCATTTTTCTCCTGTGGAGCAGCAGATGGATTCAAACCACATGCCTTTGGGTTGGCAGCACAAATCCTTACCACTAAGCTATCAGAGTAATATATAATTTATATTATTTTTTATGATGAGTGTTATTTTAATCCAAATGATCATTTCGAGTTTATAATTCATATTTATTTTCTGCTTACAAATATTCACTACCTCCTAATTATCTATAAAATCAAGTTAGAAATCCTTACTGGCCTGATGCTATTCAAAAGTTTCCCACTCTCTAATAAAACTGCCTCCACTTATCTTTCCAGCCCAATTTCTCATTTCTTCTCTCCTGATGCTGTACTAATTTCTGCATACTTCATTTTCCAAGTTCCCTATGTGCTAACTACCTCCATGTCCTTGCTCACGAAGTTTCTCTAAAATCTTAACTTCTTCTTTATATTTGCATGTTAAAATTCTACCAAAGACCCAAAATTTTTTCTCCTTTGTGTAGGCTTGTTCATTTCCCCCAAATATATTGAGTCTTCATCTTTTGTGAATTGCATGGTATTTGAGTGCAAGGTTCTACTATGAAGGTCTTGGATCAGACCCCAGCTGTCAGTTAACAGCTTTGTAACCTTAACCGTGCTTCCTTAGCTCCTCTAATCAGCTCATCAGTAACATACACACAGAATTGTTCATGTTTTCATTTATTCAACTTTTCTTTATCAACTGCTTGGCATGTGGCACAGAAGAGCTTTGATAGCATAGTGGATTAAGCATTGGACTCTGAACTAAAGGCTGGTGGTTCAAATTCCCCAACAACAGTGTGCTATAGAATGTCATTGTGCTGGATGCTGAGACTCAGCAGGAACTACATTATTTCTACATTCCTGAAGTTTACAGGGAAGCCAGCATTAAGGATACATTTAGCATGTTAAAACAGTTCAGTTGTTAGTTTCCCTCTCTGTATAGATTTGTAGTTTAGGAACTACATTTTAATAATTTTATATGTTTTAGCTCCTAATTTTTCATTTGTAAAAGAAGATTGAACTAGGTTCAGTCTAGTCCCCTCTAGTTCTGTATGCTTTGATTCTGTATTAGTCTTGTGTGGATATATTCCTTTGTTCTTATTAGCACATTAAAAAACATAGAATTCAATTAAAATATCTATGAAACCTTACATGATAGAAAATGAATAATGACACAGTGAAAATATAAGGTAAAATATTTTATAGCCAAAAGAAATAACAAAACTACTTACAGAACATTTCCTGTGTCTAACACCCATTTTATATGTTATGTTATTTAATCCAAGACTGAATTCTTAACCTATCACTCTTGATCTCTACAATACAATCTATTTCAAATAGGACAACATGAGTCATCTTCTTAAAATAAAAATTTACCATCCTTTCTAATACTTACAAACTTTAAAAAGCTTTCTATTGTGTTTAAATTATAATAAAAATCTCTTACTAAAATTTTTGAAACTTTGAAAGATCTAGTCCTTGTCTATCTACTTCACCAGTCACATTTCATCACCTTTAATTCATCATTTTTTAGCACAATTATCTTCTGTCGCTTCTGAGAATAAACCCATTCTGTTCCTCTTTTTCCTTAGGGACTTTTTGCTACATCTCTGCCTAAACCATTGCCCTTGCCTTTCCTTTATTGACATATATCTTAGATAAAATGCCACCTCTTAAGTAACTGATTATTTCCCTTCATTCTTTGCTGTACTTCTCTCCCCACCCAGCCCTTCCCCCCTCCCCCAGTTCACTCCTCTCTTTGAAAAGTAAAAGAAAAACTCCGTGCCTGGTACACAATCCCCCCGCACTCCTCCCACCACCCCAAGTACATTCCACTATGCAACCTTAATTGTGGACTCTTGAGATAACCATAATACCCTATCATACACTGCTCTTAAATTATTCTCTCCCTCATCTGTTTCCGTGCAGTATAAGCAATTTATCCAGTTTTTCTCAGTCCTACCCCAACCCTGACATCAGTCTCATCTTACAGAAGTGGCACCATGCAGTATTTGTCCTTTTGCGACTGAGATATTTCACTCAGCATAATGTGTTCCAGTCTCACCCATTTTGAATAATATTGCATGAGTTCCTTATTTTTCAATGCAGTGTGGTATCCATTGTGTGAATATACGACAGCTTCTCTATCTATTCGTTTGTTGATCTGCACCTGGGTTGTTTCCAACTCCTTGCTATTGTGAACAAAGCCACGATAAACAAGGTTGTGCATGTCTGCTTGGGTGGCAGTTATGGTCCCTTTGGGGTATATTCCCAGTATGGAATTCCTGGGTCAAATGGTATCTCTATTGGCAACTTTTTGAGAAAGCGCCATATCGCCTTCCATGGTGGTTGCCCTATTTTACACTCCCACCAACAGTGAATAAGGGTTCCAGTTCCTCCACAACCTACCAGCATTTGTTGCTTGATGTTCTGTTAAATTTTGCTATTCTGACTGGGGTGAGATGCTATCTCATAGTTGTTTTGAAGTCATCTTTTTCTAATTAATCTTTATTACATTATTCTAGGGTTCCTTTAAACATTTTCTTGACAATCTGCAATTATTGCTTCTATTCTTTTTCTGTTCCTCACTGAAATGATGTGTTGACCAGAACAGAGAATTTATATTCTAGGGTCTTGCACACAGCTTTGCTTGCCATAAAGCCCAAATCCAATTTCAAGTCTTAATAATACTGTAGGACAGGATGGAACTCACTTGTAGGGTTTCTAAGGCTGAAAATACTCACAATGCTTAGTAAATAAACTAAAGCAAGAAAGGAAACAGTGGAAGAGAGCTCTCTATTTCAACTAGATCTTCATTTTGAATGGTAATTATAGAATAGAGATACTGCAACTAAGAGGATTTCTGCAATATTTCAAGTTTCCTTTAAAATAACTGTGAAAATACATTCTCATGGACTCAAATCTTTCAGACATGATGAAAATGACTCAGATAGGACAGGGTTCAGGTCTACTATTCATAGGGTCACTATGTGTCATATTCGCCTTGACAGCACTTAAAGAGAACCATAACAACCACCACAACAATAACATTTCAGTTTGTTTTTAGTAAATATCAGAGAATATTTCTCATATGCTGTAATACATATAGCAGTCATCCCTTTTTTCTAATTATGTAAAAACAATACGGAGGGTAGTTACTAATTTTGTATATAAGCTTTATTAGGATACTACCCAAGTCTCTTTGAAAATCTATACACACTTCTACTCCTATCTCTATGAGTCTATATATCCATATGACAGCCACTGAGAGTACATTATGACACTTTTCTTTTTCTCTTGGGATTGGGTTCAGTTTCAAAATAGTGTTCCAAGAAGCTACTATTAAACAAACCTGTCACAGAAAATATCCCATCTTACGGGTACCTAGTATTTAGAACTCTGAGTTGTAGTTTTTTTAATGTATGTGTGTGTGTGTGTGTGTGTGTGTGTGTGTGTGTGTGTACTGTCAATTCTGAACTGACTGGTACAGGAGGAGATTACCCCTCCTTCTCCATCAGAGCATCTAGTGGATTAGAACCGCTCACCTCTGGGATTGCAGTGCAGCTTCCTGACACTAGGCCACCAGAGCTTCCTGAACTCTGAGTTCTTAAACTATTTTAGTTTGATGTAGTGAAAGAGTAAAGTCACATAGGAAACTCGTTAAATCAAATCACTTCTGTTGAGTTGATTCTGATTCCTAGGTGACCCTGCATCAGATTTCTGAGGTTGTAAATCTTTATAGGAGGATCTTGCCCATATTTTTCTTATAGAGTGACTAGTACATTAGAGCTCCTGGTAATGTGCAGCTTTTTGGTTGACAATGTAACTTGCTATGAACTATGCCATGAGCTTAATAATTCTATACTTGGAGTACCACTTATATTCATGGGCTATTACTATTCAAAGTAAAATACAAATTATATATCAGTCTTTAACCTTAAGATATATAGAACTATTTGTAAATTTTCTTTAAAATTACACTGTTGTTACTATTGTTGTTAAGTGCTATTGACTCAAGTACAACCCATAGCTACTTCATGAACAATAGATATGAACACTGTCCTATCCCTGTACCACCTTCATACTGTCTGACACACTTGAGACCATTGCTGTGATCACTGTGTCACTCCATCTGGTGAGAGATCTTTTCTTTTTTTACCAACACTCTGCCGTTCCAAGCATGATATCCCTATCTAAGGTGTAGCCTTGCCTAGCAACAATTACTGTGGGTTTCTCAATTATTGCACCAGTAACATTTTTTTTCTTTTTGAAAGATTTTTGTGTGTGTGTGTGTTGAAGGAGACGTTATAGATATACTTGGCTGCGTTCATATTGAAGTTTAGCAAACGCAGTCTGGTTAAACAAAGAGAAATATTCAATATCAAGCTGCCCTACTGTATTTTAGTAAATGGTTTCCTGAATTCCTCACTTTTCTCATATTTCTGGAATCTGATAGTCCTGGGTATATTAAGCTGAGATATCACTATCATTTTAATCCTGCAAAGATTTTTCACAGGTCTGCTCCCACATCACTTTTTGTAAATGCATACCAGGAAGACAGATTTTTTTTAAGTCATGGTTAAATATTCCTAAATATTGGTGAGTCTATGATTTTGAAACTAAAGTTACCTCTTCTAGTCTATCCACTTGATTATTTACTCTGAATTATTTTTTTTCTGGTCTCACAAGTCCTTTTGTTCAAGGTATAGTTGGTAGTTAATGTCATAAATGATATTTGCAGGTGATTAAACGGAAGTTCAATGGAACAGAAGGATCAGAAATAGCGCTACTGACTGATGGGGAAGACAACACTGTAAAGAGCTGTCTGGATACAGTGAAGCAAAGTGGAGCAATCGTTCATTTGATTGCTTTGGGAAAAAATGCTGAAGAGGCTGTGAAAGAGATGAGTCAAATAACAGGTAAAAATGTAACATATAGAATCTAGTTTTTTAAATTATTGTTCTTGTTATTACATACTATATCATCTATTCTATGGGTCTCATAGCAATAGATTTTATTTTTCAGACAAGTATCTTAAGTAAAAGCGAGTAATACCTCTAAAAGATTGTGTGATTTAACACACAAGCTGAGAAATCTCCACTCAAGCAATTTATACACTCTGAAAAGCCTCTGCAGAGTTAGCATGTAGTATGAGTAAGTTCAAACAACAAAGAGTTTAGGTTGAGTTTTTGAATGGTCCTTGGATATATTTCTGATAGCTCAGGTTTCCAGATATGTGAAGTACTAATGTAGTTTATATTTCCTTGTTATTGTTATTTCTTAACAAGTCAGAAATGGTCCATATTTGACCCTCAACTGGGATTTCAGAGGCAGTTGATTTCACAGCAGGAAATGACTCATTCTTCTCCCTCAGAACAGCTGGTAGGTTCAAACCTTCGGGATTGCAGTACAATTTATTCTCACTAGTCTACTAGTGCTCCACATACTGCTTTGTTATACTGAACTACCAACAAGGTCATGTGGGAAGCAGATGTATTCTGGAGGGTAGATTTTCTTGGTTTAGTTGAAAGTAGGGTGAAATCTATTCAGTGGTGTTTTATTTAATTCACAATGGTGTTAATTGTATTTGAGAAGTACTTTCTCCTAAATGGTACAGCACTGGTCTGCAGTTTGCTGTATTGTGATAACTTGTAGTTGCTGTGATGCTGAATGCTGTGCCACTGGTGTGTCAAATGCTATAATGGTTACCCATAGTAGACAGTGTTTGGTGGAGCTCCAAGATTACGAGATGCTTGGAAACCGGATTTACATCCACTTTCTAAACAACATGCCTTTGGCAACTCTATTGACATTAGAGAAATGATGATAGTCATAGAACAAGGTTCAGATCTGTTTTTCATAGGGTCACTATGGGTCGTGCTCAACTCAACAGCATTTAACAACAACAACAATGAACAGGGCCACTCATGGTTGACAGATTTCAGGAGAGCTTCTAGACGAAAACAGACTAAGAAACAGAACTAGCTACCTATTTAAGAAATTTAAGAAATAAAATAAACCCTTTGGGCCATGGTAGAACATATTTTATATAGTGCCTGAAGATAAGCACTCCCAGATTGAAAGACACTCAAAATGTGACTAGGCAGCAGCTTCCTTCTCAGACAGTGTATTGTAATGACAAGGTGGAGTACAATTTTTCACCTTATAAAGGACCTTTACTTGCTGATGTGACAAGGCTCAACAGGAGGGGAAAGACCTGCAAACATCCAATAATAATTGAAACGTGAAGTGTATGGATCCAGGAAAATAGGAAGTCGTAAAAAAGAAAATGTTGTTAGGTGTTGTGGAGTCGAGTATGACTCATAGAGACCTTATGAACAAAAAATCTAAACCCTGTTCTATCCTGTACCATTCTCACATTTCCTGACACACAAGAGTCCACTGCAGCAGTCACAGTGTCAATCCAACTAGTTGAGGATCTTCCTCTCCTTCACCAACCCTCTATCCTTCCCAGCATCATGCCCTTCTCCAAAGAATAGCACCTCCTAGCAACATATCCAAAGTATGTGAGGTGAAACCTCATCCTTCTTGCCTCCAAAGAGCCCTCCAGCTGTACCATCTCCAAGATATATCTGTTCATTCTCTTAACCATCCATGGGATGTTCAGTGCTCTTCTCTAACACCACAGCTCAAAAACATCAATTCTTTTTCTGTCATCTTTATTCATTGTCTAGGTCTCAGATGCATAGCTAGTAGCTGGAAAGACTATGGACTGTAAAACACACACCTTAGTTCTGAAACTGACATAGCTACTTCTCAATAATTTGGAAAGGTCCCTAACTGCAGATTTTCCCAGTACAATTCATCTCCTTATTTCCTGAGTGCTTATACTAAGGTTGTTAATTTGGATCCAAGCAAGATGAAGCTGTTGACAGTTTCAATCACCTCTCCATCCATCAGGGCACTACCTATTTGTCCAGTGATAAGGATCTTTGTTTTCCTGATATTGAGACACAGTTGATACTGAAGGCTGCACTCCTTAATCTTCTAAAACAAGTGTTTTAAGTTCTTGTTAAAAAAGAACTACAAAAAAAATTTAAAAAAATAAGAACTACAATGTGTGAATATTGACATACAGGGTATTAGTGAGATAAGATGACCAACTCTGGCTTCTTTGAATCAGATAATCTTATGGTATACTATGCAGGGAATGAAAAACAGAAGAAGAATGGTGTTACATTCATAGTCAAAAAGTCAATGTCAAGTTCTATCCTGAAATGTAATGTGGTGAGTGATAGGATAATATCCACACACATACAAAGAAGACCTGTTAACACAAATATATATAAAATATGTGCTCCTACATCTAGGACCAAAGAGAAAGAAATTGAGAATTTTTACCAAATCTTTCAGTCCAAAATTGACTGAACATGCAATCAAGATGCATTAATGATAATTGGTGACTAGAGCAAAAATAAAATAGAACACATAAATTAAAATACATAAAAATTTATATACTAGATATTACTGAGTTGAGATAGACTGGTATTGGTCATTTTGAATCAGATTATCACAACTATATTGAAAATGACAAGTTGAAGAGGAATGCTGTGGCACTCATCATCAAAAATTACTTTAATATCACCATAAAAGATGTGTTTTAAGATATATCCTAAAGTACATGTGGTGAGTGATTGTATATTATCCATACACATATAAGGAATACTTGCTAAGGCAACTAATATTCAAATATACTCATCAACCATAAAAGTAAAACTGAAGACATTGAGGATTTCTTTTAACAATAATTGGTGACTAGAATGCAAAGGTCAGAAACAAAGAAGGACTGATAGTTGATAAATATGGCCTTGGTCATAGAAATGAGGCTAGGAATAAATAATGGAATTTTGAACAGTGAATTGACTAAAAAAAAAATTTAAAAATATGCTGACTATACACATGGACTTCGCCTGACAGACTGTACAGGAATCATACTAACAACATCTGTGGAAAGAGGCTCTGGAGAAGCTCAATATAAGCAGTAAAAACTAGTCCTCAGGCTGGCTGTAAAAAAGACCATCAACTATTCATATGCAAGTTAAAAATGAAGTTAAAAAAAATTAAAAAGTGTCCACAATAACCAAAATATAACTTTGAATGTATCCCAACGGAATTTTAAAACTATCTTAACAATATATTTGACAGACTGAACGCTAAAAACTAAAGAACCAATGAGTAGTGGAATGACATCAAGGATATAATTGATGAACCAAGTAAAAGGTCATTAAAAGACGGGGAAGAAAGAAAAGATCAAAATGGATGTCAGAAGAGAATCTGAAACTTGCAATGAGAATGAAAAGAAGTCAAAACAAGGGAAAGAATGCTGAAACAAGAAATTTGAACAAATGATTTCAAAGGGCAGCTTGTGAAGACAGAGAAAAATATATTCAAGAAGCTGGAGATAGAAAAGCAAAAAGGAAGAGCACATTCAGCATTTTTCAAAGTGAAAGAGCTGAAGAATAAATTAAAGCCTAAAGTCACAACACTGAAGAATTCTATAGGCTTAATTTTTAATTATGCAGGACACATCAAAAGAAGATAGAAGAAATATATAAAGTCATTGTACCAAAAAGTTGTCACTGTTACAAATCATTTCAGAAAGTAGCATATGGTCAAGAACCAATAGTAATGAGGGAAGAAGTCCAAGCTGCACTGAAAATATTGGCGAAAAATAAGACTTCAGGAATTGATAAAATACATGTTTCAAGAAAGAAAGCATCCTTGAATGTATTGTGCCAAGACATCTAGAAAACACCTATCTGGCTAAGAAGCTGGAAAAGTTCCTTATTTGTCCTCATTCCCAAAAATAAGGTGGCCTAAAAATGTGGAAATTTTCAAACATTATCATTAATATTGCATGCAAGCAAGATATTGCTGCATGTGAAAAGAATTCAAAATTATTCAAATATCACTAGGAAAAATGTCTATGACATAGAACTGCTAGAAATTTAAGTCAGACTTAGAAAAGGCCATGGCACCAGGGATATCACTGCTGGTGTTGGAAAGATCTTGGCTGAAAGCATAGAATACCATAGGAATGTCTATTTGTATTTTACTAACTATGCAGAGACATTTGACTGCATGGATCACCACAAACTATGGCTAACATTGAGAAGAATGTGAATTCAAGAACACTAAATTGAGCACATACAAAACCTATACATAGAATACAAAGCTATTTTCAAAAAAAGAACAAATGAGATGCGGATAGTGACACAGGCAGAGAGTGATGCATGCAGAAAGTGACATGCACAGAGAGCAACACACACAAAGAGTGATGTGTGCAGGAAAGCTGGAATTTGAGTAAGAATTGTTATTAAAACAATTTGTTTGAGAGCCATGGGAGCATTGAGCCTCAGCAGGGAGCAGCAAGTTGCGCCAGAGCCTACCCACCAAGAGCAAGTAGGACAGCAGGAATTTGAGTGAAGTACTTAGGGGCAAATAACTGCTGATTGCTGGACCACGTGGGACCATTTCACCTTAACCAGGAGGGAGTGCAACAGCTAGAGCTTGACTGATGTGGCAGATCCAGTTTTCAAGGGGAAAACTAAGGCTTTCTGGTTTTCCATTCAGGTTTTCCCAAATGCCTCCCACCCTGTGCATCTGCATGTGTGCACCCCCCCCCCACACACACACACCACTGTGTGCATCTGTGTGTCTGTCCACCCTACATATATCTGTGCTTGTGTGCCTACCCAAATGTCTTCTGAAGCAGTGACTTCAGATCAAGAACTTATTGCCTCAGGCACAGCAATGTCACAAAAGATACAGGCTATTTGACATCCTACAAGACAAGATGTCACCCTCAAAAAGTGACACAGTGTCAATGGATTTCCTTAAGCCAGAAAGTCAAATGGAACTTTCTGACCCAAAATTTAAAAGAACAATGATGAAATAT